TCAGAAAACAGGATGTTTGACATTGTAATGTAATATGTCCAAAAGATCATTTTTAGAAAATTAAGGAAATGCACTAATCCAGTCAAATTTTCAAAAGAATTCCTAGCACAAAAATGTAATCGTCTGCTTTCTTTTTCACCATGTCATAAGAATGTACCGTTCTTAGGGGGAAGAAAAACATGTACACGAAACACTGCATGAAGCGAAACATTTCTTAAATGTGGCTGATTTCCACTGAGGCTGTTTATTTAGCATTGTCATCCTTAAACAGAGAATGCAGAATTTCATGTCCTTAGTTCACTTAGTTAAGATGAAAAGAAGCAAGGCATGGATATTTAATCTTGCTCCAGTTTACTTATGTGACAAACTCTTTGCCATAACTGTAGTGTCTAAACGTATTCATTTTGAAGAAGTCAGCTCAGAATAATGCTCCTGTGTAATAGATTTAAATTACCGCTATAACTATTTTAAGTGTTAAGTAAATTCTGTTTCAAAATCTAAAGCTTGTGTTTAGTCTTGCCTTTTTCTGCTTGCTGTGTCACAGCGTAGGATTCTGGTCCCCTGATCACTCAAATCAGCACTGGTCACAACAAGTGTGGCTTGCTCCTGCTGCACAGCCATATTTCTTCTGCACAGAAATGATATGTGTTCATGGATATAACTATGGATGTGTCATTGGTGATAGTGTACAAATCTGGGCTGAGGCACACCCTATAACCAAGGAAGCAAGGAGCACACTTTGGTAATATAAATTCCTTCAGCATCCAGTCTACTGTTAAAAGATCCACGGGAAAAAAAAAAAAAAAAAAAAAAAAAAAAAAAAACAGTGAAATAAAGCAAACTCATAGATTTAAATTTGCAACTAGGAGTCTGCATTTCTACTGGAAAATTAATTTTAGGAAGACCAAAAACTGAAAGTGGTTGAAAAATATGTTTTGCTTTCTTCTGTTTTCAATTCTTCCTAAAAGTAAAACCCAGAAATACACTTGTAACAAAATCTTTGTACAAGTATCTGACAATGAATTGTCAAAGACCATTACCAAAAGATATACTGTCTATACAAAATGAACTCAACGTATTTATGTGCATGAATTATGACACAGGCTCCTCCTAGCCTAAGTAACAGAAATGATGCCATTCTATGAATGATAATGTTACAACTTTTTGCACTTGTTGAAATGAGGATGTTAAATGAGGTAGTAGACAGCAAGTATGTGCTGCTTAGGGAAACTGAAATCCACTTCTGTGTTTGAGGAGTTCTGCAATTTGGATGATAGTCACAGGTTAACTCCAGGTACATCAGAACAAATGATAAATACATTCCTTTACTTCGACAGCAACTATACTGTAATACAAACACTATTAAAATATAGAGTATTACTAAAAATTCAGGTCCTAGTAGTAGTCCTCTATCAGTAGATAATTTGTTTACTTTGTTGTAATTTTACAGATATAATAATTAAAATACCTCATAACATTGTGAAAAATAGCTAGGAGAAATATTAATTGAGGTCTATGTACTGAGATCACCCTAGAAGTATCATGAAAGCAGTAATAATTTCCCGAGTAAGAATAACATACACCAATCTCTAATAGCTACAGTCTAAACTGAAAAGATAAAAAGAAATACTATGAACTAATGAATCAGAAGAAGTAGGAATATAGGATGAGAAATGTAACTAAACATCATAGTGTGTTATATCAACACAACTTAAGAATATGCTCTTGATTTTGCAACTCTATTAAAAGATATTTTAATTGACTTTAGTCCATGCTTATCGTTTTACGGATGTATGATTTTCTAAACATGTAATTTTAGAACTGACACAAAGAATGAAGAAAATCCACCATATAGCATCACGTTGACACTCATGATTCACTGAAATATCTGCACCTTAACTTTCCCAGCAGAGGCTTCAACACCTTAAGGTACTTCTCAGAAGACAAAAACCCATAACTGCCATGCCAACAAGATCTAAAATTTTAATTACTACCTGAACACAGAGGTCTTGTGATGCACAGAGGATTACTGAAGCAGCTGTGCGGTTCTAGGAACATTTTTAGCTACTCCACCCTTCTCCTTCTTCCTTTTCTTCTGTCCGCCCCCAACTTCTCACTCAATTTTATCTTCCTCCGTGTTACTTTAATACATCTCATCCTTTGTCTTCCTCTCTTCCTGTCCCTCACCCTTCATTCTCAGCACTCACCCCTTGGCATACTCCTCCTTCCCTTTTCTGTCAGGGCACGGGAAGGAGCAGTTTCCTAGCTCTCAGCTGCAGTGCGCTCTGCTCCTCTTCAGTAGCTACAGCTGTGAGATGAAGCAACTGCAGGGGAAAGTCCTGCTTATTTTCACCCCTAGTAAATACTCGGCCATTCTGGGATGATAGAGCTTTGCCATCCTGTAAACACATCGCCTTTGGAAGAGGATAAAACTTTCTCTTGGAAGACAATAGTTTTAGCAGCATAATGAACACGAATGTGTGATTAGGTCTTCAGCACTGCCTGATGTGGCCAAGTTTGATCAGTTTTCCATAAGGATGGAAAAGCCCTTCGTGTCATCCTCCTCATGACATTCAAACTCCAAAGGATGGAGATGCTAGAACTTGTCAGTGACATGACTCTAACAATTTTAGAATTGGTAATAACAATTTTAGAAGAATTGGCAAGACAGTTAATTTCTCCTACATCTTCTCAGAAACCTTGGAATTATTTTGGTGAGAATGCTTAGGGGAAAAAAAAAAATAGTGTGCTTAGTTTTGACAACTATATTAAATATTCAGAACATCTGACAAACAGCTGTCATCAACCAAACTTTAATTTAGTTATGACACAAACCCACACTACTTACAATGCATCCACTGACAAGCACAAACGAAGAATTTCAGAATTATTCTTTAAAACTGAGACACCTGGGTGCATCGTGGTTCTTTGAACAGACTTATAAGCAACCTAATATCATCTGCAGATTAAATATGCCTGATCCATGTTTCTTTTGAAGTGGGCGGCCACAGCACTGAACTCTCCATGCCATGGCTTAGAAAGATATGCAGTGTTTCTGGAAACAAAACTTGATATCTTCCAAAAAAATACAGGAATGATGCATTTAATTCTCCTGGGTGGATTAATATTTTCCTTCAGAATCAGCAGTAACTCTGTGTTTTCCATTACTTATTCTCTCTCTCTTTAATCTATACATTATCCCGAAGTATAATATCAAGTGAATAAAACAAGACTCTTTAAGACTTCCTCTCATTCTTAATTTAACACTTCCAAGTGTGAAAAAAACAGTACCTTTTTTTCTAGTTCCTTGTGGAAAAAGAAGAATACACCCTCCCTTCTAGAAAAAGCAATGATAAAATCTGGTAATTCTCTCTCCTTTGGCTTTTCAGTTACACTGAAGCTTTTCAAATCAAGATTTATGTGCCGGTTTATATCTGTTGGTTTTTTTCCCCCTACAGGGATATAGGTGGATAAGTTTGGATAGCAAACTGTAACCCTCAAGCCAAACTGAAAGGTTTATAAAGCTGCTAATAAAAGTTTGGGTCAGGGCCTAAATATCAATCATCTATGCTTTGTCTTTTTGAACGAGCTCAGGCATTTTCACAGCCACTCCCAGCAGGTCTCTGCCACTATTTTAAACTAAGATTTCAGGTTGTACTTTTTTAATTTTTTCCCCTGCGTTGAACTCAATAATTTTTCTTTCCCGCTCTCCTTACCTGCCAAATGCATCCATCAGGATTTTGCCAAAGGCTATCTGCTTTTGAAGTCAAGAGGAATTCGCTAATCATGAGTGTCAAATCCACAATAAATGCCATCACCATATGGTATATGCTGCTATTGGGAATTATCTCAAAAAGGCCTAGCTGTGAAAAGTCTGGCTATATGTTAGGGTTCTTTTTTTTTTTTACTGCTAACATTCATAACTCATGTCAGGTCTTTCAGTTTCTGTATTCATTGGCTTAAGTGAGTGTAACTGTTTCCTGAATTTATAAAATGTTGTCAAGATCTCTTGATCTCTATTCCACTGTCTCTCTTTCAAAAAACACATTCAAACACAGATATGCCCAATGTAATTCTATACATAGTGGTATACACATCTAACAAAAGAGAAGCTAGTGTTTCATTATGCTTACTCAATAAATTCTTGAGAGTATTAGAGCTCATGATAAGCATATCATAACCACCGATGAAGGCTTTACAGCCTCCTGTACAGTAAGACCATCCCAAATGTGATACCACAATGCACACAAAGACCTATGTTAGAAAAACTGAGAACAGAACGAGCTCCCATAAGGTCAGGGTGCTGACATAGCTGAAAAAATGACTATCTGGAGAGCATTTGCATTAGCTAAAGAATATCAGTAAAAAAAGTGATAAATCTCCATGTCTTTTGAAAGCTGTGGAAATGTACTATGCAATCAAAGCAACAAGAAATCTCCTTTCTGTAAGAATATGACCATAAAGGAATTTTCTTTAAATATGTGTTTAAACCTCCCAATTTTCTCAACATTCTCATCAAGCAGCATAGATAAGATTAAGAAATTCCCAGAAAAGCAAGCATTGTGATACAATGAGGTTAAAAGAAAACACTTAATGAGTTTCACATACCAATTGAAGAATAGAGAAAAAATGATTACAAGTTAGGTGCCACTTGGAACACTTGAGGTACTTTCCCTGATGCTCTAGAAAAGTGTTGATGTTCCCCAAATCCCATCTCATCCCCCTGTGGGACACCAGTGGGTCTCATCTTGTTTCAAGTAGCACTAGAAGTCCATGCTTAGACAATGACTCTCCCATAACTTATGTACAGTATATGAATAACCTTTAGGAGAAAACTGAAATGGGTAAAATTCATCCATACTCAAGGTTTTTGCCATGTATTTCTGGAAACTGTGACAAATGTGTTTCATTTGCCTACTTAGTAACAGTAATGAACTGCTGGCAACATCACATAAAAAGAAAAGTTACAGAATCAGAAAAAAAAATGCTGAAAAGTTTACCTTTATAGGAAAGTTTGAGTCTTGGGATATTTTGTTTTGACGTTCCAGTGACGGGAAGGAACAGCATTGCTAAAGATAACAGACTGCAGGCATTCGGTACTAGGGAAGCTCTCATTTTGCTCTCTTCTTATGCACTTTTTGCACTACCGTGAAATATCTCTGCACTCTTCAAACAATCCAAGTTTAATCTGGAAGCAAAAATAAAACATCTGTAGATCTTTTTGATTATCATATAAATAATATTTCTGAAAATAAGCCAGACCCAACCAGCTTAAGTAACTCATTTAACACATTTGCTACAGAAGTTTATTGTTTTATTTTTCTCTAGTATAAATCAAAATCAGTTTCTTTAATACCACATTTACTTGAAGGTCGGGAAAATATGTAAGATTTTCAAAGAACAATGTCTAACATAGCTGCAGTCTAAACAAAAAATTAATTTAGTGTCAATGAAAAGAATATTTGCCATTCAAATACGATTGTGCATCTCATTAGTTTATACAGCTCCATTTGATATCATGCTGTTTTACACCTCATTCTTTATCTCAGTATAAAAGCTATTATATGTTTATCCTATGGCTAGAATAAGTTGCTGGATCACAGATACCAAGAGATAAAAATCTGAGTTAACAGGAGAGAGGAGATATCCATCATAAAATTTCATAAATAAACTAAGAAAATTGCAGTGGTTTTTCCAAATAAAGTTTGAAAAGAGAAAAAAGTCAGAACTGCTGATGGACTTTAACGTGCTTTTCAGTACAATATTTTCAGCAGAATAACTGCCTCAATTCACCCACAAAATGTCCTATAAACTTTAATGAGTAGTTCATGCTGAGGTCAATAGGCTGATATGGGACTGTGTTAATACAGGGCGCAACTAAGCCAGCTTTGCAACACTTTTCACTTAATAACAGTCATTCATATTCCATAAATCTTAAAGTGTTTTACAAAAGAAAGCAATTATCACTGTCCTTATTTTCCCTAGACAAGACTGCAACCATAAAACTGTAACAAACTTATTTCCTACAGGTCACACAGCCACCTCAGTAGCTGCACAGAAAGCAGCAACAGTTTTCCTGGAGTCGAGTCTTGTTTGGTACCTGATTTTGAAGGATCCCTTTTGCCCAATAAATCTTTTTTCTTTCCTAGGGAATTACTAAGGAAATGACATCTTGATTTCTCAAGGCAGAAGTTGATGGTTAATAAATCATAGAGGTGAGAACACAAAAATATTTGTGAGGGCAGATTCCTCCTCCTGCAAGTTCAATATCAGAAGTCAGAGGAAGACATCCAGGGAAATGACAAGTTTGAGTGATGCTGTAAATCAAAGTATAAGGGAATGTCATGGCTAGTAACAAGATTAATGGCTCATGATTTTTCATCAGAATTATATTCTGAAAGGTACCAAAGCCTTTTGCACAAAAATAAGTGGAAAGACTCCTTGTGAGCCCATGAGGGACCCAGCACAGCTCAGCCACCCCAAGTAACCCCAAATGTCTTGCACTTCCTCTAGCTGCAGAGTCCCCTCTGCATGCTGCAGAGGCATCCAGAATCAATTCAGTACCTTATGAGGCAGGTAGTACTACCTTCCTTGCACAGAGGGACTGGAAAGAAGACATCTTTAGTTCTCTTTGCCTAGGGAAACCTTTCACAAATGAAGATGTGGCTTTCTGAGCTTCCAGCATTTCTGCCAATGCTAAAGGACAAGGGAGTGTACAGGAAGGTTGTGATGGGGAAAGAGAAAGGGGAACACAGTTGAAAAACGCCCGTAGCGTCCTTCCTACGAAGAACATTAAGCCTCTTTCTTCTCAATCCCTTCCTCAACATTTATATTCTGTGTCTGAATGCAATACTTTTGGCCAAGTGCCACCACACATTCATGAGATGACACAAAAAGAAAGCAAAACAAATTTGAAATGTCTTTGTTTTCTATCTTTCTATTCTTTTTTACTAGACTACAGGATCCTGAAAGATGATAGCCCTTACTTCTTCCATGCTGGTACACTTGTTTGTGGTGGGACTAAAACTAACATTAACTTGCTGGGTCATATGGTGAAAAGGGGAAAAGAAGGAGAGGAGGAAGGGAAAGGATCATATTAAGATGAGACACACCAGTCCTATTCATCTTCTGCAGGATGACAGAGACAAACCACACTTCAAAAATAAGCAATGAACAGGGAGTCAATCTCACTGCAGGTATGCTGAGATATTGTGGCTTGGGGGTTTGGGTCACAGCCAACAGGAGTCACACCAGAGAATTAGGGGCTCATCTTTTCAAGGTGAAATACAATGAAGTAAAAAAAAAAAAAAAAGCCATTTGTAGAAAAAAGTTGTTGACCAAACACACTGTACTGTTTGGTTGGAGACTGCATTTGGCCTTTTGGTCATAGGGAAATTCACTTTTTCATTCAGTGTTCTGCTAATGGAAATCTTTTTTTTTCTTTTTTTTTCTTTTTCTTCTTCCCCCCCCCCCCCGCCCTTTTTAGTTGAACAGTGTCTGTGAAGAAACATTTGCTTTAATTCCTGACACATGGCGTTTAGTTTACACTGAAGGCAGCTGCTCTGTGAGCTTGAGCCAACCATCTTCTAGACTCACAGCAATCCATCCAGATTGTCACATATATTTTTAGTTTATGATGATCTTCTAATACAATTCCAGCTTCCACACAGAATCCTTCCAACAGTCTAATGACTAGCTCAGGTTAATGAACTTCAGAACAACTAACTGGCCACTAATCTTCAGGAAGTACCCTTCCTCTCTGTAACATATGTAATGTCAATCAGTGCCCTGAGCTCAAAGGAGGTATGGTCATGCTGCTCCAAAATAATCAGGCCCGAGAACAGAAATAAAATACAAAACCTAAAAGCTAATCTAACTTCCTTCTTTTCCTCTGCTCAAGTAGGAGTTTTGTCCAAGGACGAAAAATTGTTTCCTTTAGTTAAATATTTCTGTTAGGCATCAACATGCTGCAAAACTTCCTCAAAACGATCAGACCCAACATAAATAAGGCAAATGAACTCAGAGAAAAAGTCTGAAGCCAAAGCTGCTTTCCCACCTTGGCTTCAGCTAGGAAATTTCTCCACTGTTAATTATCACCTGCAAGACCAGCTAAGGAAGGAAGCTATGTACACATTCTGTGGGACTGGGGTATTTCCACCAGAAGAAAGGAGCTATTATTTGCCCCATGCAGGACTGGGAGGTGCCTGGTTGAAGAGGGCCAAGGGCCAGGCTCCATCCTTCCTGGACCTCCCTGTGGAACCCATTAATTCACATCAAGCGTGGGTGAAAACTGCCAAAAAGACAAAATGTGGATTTGCTGGTGTCCTGCCATCTTTGCCAGAGAGAGGCAGCTGGACGTAACTGGCACATGTGATGTCACGTCTGCGAAATGAGGTGTCACCTCCTTGCAATTGGTCAGATTTAGTGGAGCCTATAAAACAGACTGCTCTGAAGCTACTGTCTGAAAGAGGAAAACCTGGAGCCAATTTACTAAACATAATTTATTCCAGGCCCTTTGTTACAATAAACAGAGCTCTTCAGACTTCTCAAATACACAACCAGTAGGAAGCTTTGCATTCATGGGAGGTTTTTTTTCATTTGTTCAGCTAAACCTATCTGAATGCAAAATCTTGTATTCACAAATACTGGGAAGATGTTTGACCTCCCATGGCATCATGAAATCTAGAACTGAAAGGATTGTGACCTATCCTCAAATACACATCTTTTTTTAACAGTAGTTTTGTAACCCAGTTGAATTCTGCAACAAAAACCTCTCCTGGACTGGAGGATTATTTAAAACCTGTTTCTCATGCTAGTTTTCCATGGCCATTTTAAAATTTGGCATTTTGTACTCCACTGAAGAGAATGATGAAAACAGCCTGCAGCAAATACAATTAGTCAAATTGTATGCTGAATCTAAGAGCAACATAAAAATTGCAAATAACCACTGAAAATTTAGACCAGTCTTTGAGTTGGCTCATGTTGTTTATAAAAAGTAATAATAGAATAGAAATACATCTGATAATCACTATCGATTTAAAATTAGGCTAAGTCACAAAGGTGATTTAATTTGAATATGTAAATTCCAAAGGCTGCTCCCAAAGTAATGCCTCCTATTTTATTATGTGGATGCACAATGTCAGAAGTGGATATTGGTGGTATGGCAGCAGAGCTTGAACCTTTCCAACAAAATTCTGTTACCTTGTATTGCTGTGTGACAGATGGCAGCAAAGAGGTAGTATGTATGAAGAAAAGGTGTGTCACTAAATCCCTCTATGCAGAAGAAAATTGCACTTGCAATTTATCACCACTTGCTAAATGTTTATGAAGACCACAGTGGATGTGAACACAGTGAGGCAGTGGGTGGTGCATTTCAGCAGCAGCAACAGCAATAGTAGGTCATCTCTGCTGGTGCTGATTTTTATAGGTGCAACAGGAGGGCTGTTGTTCGTAGCTGGCAAAAATGCATAGCTAACGATGATGGCTGTGTTGAAAAATAGTGTTTTGTAGCTGAGAATTTGCCCAAACTATCAAATACTGCTATTGTGCTCTTTGTATCTGCTGTAATTTCCACTGACATAAATAGAAGGCATTACTTCTGGAGTGACTTACGTATAACCCTTGATACTCATGCTTTTTCTTCTTCTCCTCAGCTATCCTTGTCCAAGATTTTTTGCATTTTATTTCTTTATGGAGTGAGAAGAGAATGAAAGATGTTCCTTGTCACCATTAACCACATAGCGTGAGTGCACTGCTAGACATATTGCTTTAAAGGATTTAAAGCTTATTAGCTGCAAAAAGAAACAAAAAGAATTCATCTGCAATTCAAATGCATTGAAAGATATATTATCTGTTCACATGAATGCATATTTGACTACAAATTTTAACTACAAATATATAAAGTTCTTTCCTATGAATTTTCTTGCATATATCTTACCTGTAAGCTATTGCATGTTTGCAGGAAGAATATTAGTATGGCTATGTACCGTGTACTTCGAAACTGTATTATAATTACGGGCTTGATATTGAGCATTCTTTGTTAGTAAGGCAGAAAACTACAAACATAGATGAGTCAGATTAATAATTCACTAAATAAAAGAGACAAAAAGTACATCTCCAGACTGACTGAAAATCCTGAACTTGCTTTTCAAATAACAAAGATGACATTGATCCAAAACACAATGTAAC